TGTACATGGAACGTGCATGGGTGTGTGAACAAAGAACTGAGGCAAGGGGGAACAAAACACAAGGGTAAACATTGCGGAGACCAGGGAGGGCAAAGATCAAAGGAAACAGAAGTCAAAGTTGAACAGTGGAGATGTGAGGGCCGAAACAGGGATTACAGGGATGGAAAAAAGTTGGAGTAATAGTATCACTTTAGGAAAGAATCATAGGGCTGAGTAAACACAAAGTATTACAAACAATGTACTGTACATACAATCTGATAACTTCTTCATACACATCACAGTTTCAGGAATGCCAAACAGGTAGCAGAACTTATATATACTACAGGGCTTTGCATAACTGGGTACGAAAACAACGTACTGTGGGTATGCCATCACATCACACTTTATATGGAGCAGGTTGTAGGTTGACAAAATTCTCGAGACAAAGTCCTGTTTGGTTGCCTCCACCCGACACCATGGAACGCGTAGAATGCGGTTTAATAGCAGCCAATCTAGTACGGCGCTGGGGAACATGAAGTTTAGATGTATTAGCGTCACTTGAACTGAAGTGATTATTGGTATGTTTATACAAAAATAAACAGTTATTAACAATTCTTCTGTGGTAAAGGGTGGGAAGGTTGAACAAATTACACAACTGCAAATAAGTAGGGTTATCATTCAAATGGGATACACGATCCGTATAGCGGAGGGGTCTACCATAAAAAACCTCCTTTGTACTCTCTTCAGTCTGTCAGACTGAGTCTTCGAGATGGAATTAAATGCAAATGTACAATATTCTAAGTTAGGTCGAATTAGGGTACATTATATAGTCCGAAGCAGTTGCTCATTTTTACATGAATGAAAGTTGCGCCATAGTAAACCCTTTCTTGACCAATTGACTAACATGATGGACAAAAGTGAGTTTGCTGTCAATGAAAACCCCAAGATCCTTTTGTACATGAACACGATTAATAATTTTTTTGTCTGAGATATTATAATCATGGATGACTGGATTCTTCTTCAGGGTTACACTAATAACTGAACATTTCTTCAAGTTAAGATTTAAGCACCAATCTGCACACCAGTCATGGGCTCTGCTTATGCCTTCCTACAAAACCTGACAATCTGACACCTGGTAAACCTTTAGAAAAAATTTCATATCATCGGCAAACATCAAACACTTGTTCGCAATACACTGTGATAAATCATTACCAAAGAGAGAAAACAACAAAGGACCGAGTACTGAACCTTGGGGTGCACCTGAAGGGATTGGGTACCAACTAGGGCAGTGACAATCAACTACATCTCGATGCCGTCTATCAGATAAATAGCTATGAAGTAGTTTTAGCAGACATGGATGCATTTTGTAACTAGTAAGTTTATGAAGTAAAAGTATATGACCAACACGGTCAAAAGCCTTCGAGAAGTCAGTATAGACAATGTCCAGCTGCCCACCCTGATCAACCGTATGGTAGGCCTCCTGTAATAATGCAGTGAGATTGGTGGAACAATTCCTGCCGGGTACAAAACCATGCTGCTGCTCAGCGATCGCAGGCTGTACATGATGCATTAGTCTTTTACACAGAATCTTCTCAAAGACTTTAGAAACTAGCGGAATTAATGACACTGGTCTGTAATTGGAAACATTCTCTCTTCTGCCAGACTTGTGAATTGCTACAATATTTGCTGGTTTCCAGTGCGATGGAAAAATACCTTCATATAACGACCTACGAAAAAGATACAACAAAGGATAAAGCCTGGTAGATTATCAGGTCCACAAGCCTTAGAAATGTCAACGTTTGTAAGTTCACGCCATACTTCATTACTGTCCATTTCAATTGCTGTGGTGCAAATGGTGTACAGGTCAATGGCGAGAACTTGAGAAAGAACAGAAGAAGAGGAAGTCCGGTTCATCTTCAGGGCAGTCATAGACAAATTGGAAGTCAACATCTATGCCTTATTTGCATGCTGTAAGACAGATGGCAGAGAGTGGTGTTTCGTGCGGACTTTCACAAAACTCCAGAAACGTTTGGGGTTTGTGACCTCATCCCCAGCCAATGTGTCCAAGAAACTGTTGTATTTCGTTCTTGTGGTCTTTTTGAAGGAAAAGCGGGCTATTTTAAATGCAGAAATGTTCTCCGCAGAAGGATTGGCACGTTTCCTCCGAAAAGCACGTTCCTCTAAGAGACTGTTGAACTTCAGCGTCAAACCATGAAGGTAGAGGGTGGTGAAGAATGACGCCGGACGGACTTGTGGCACGACGTCGGTCAGTGCTGCTTCCACAAGATCATGGAAGAGAGAGGTTGCTTCGTTGCAGCTATCTGTTGCCCCAAGAAGACACCAGGGAATACATTCTAGTGTTCTTTGTAAGTCGTTCATGTCAGCCTTATCTCTGGTAAATGACAAGTTCACTTGGCGTAGGTTGTGGGGGCTTATCACAGTATCTACTAAAGTATAATCGATGGCAGAGTTGGGCACGGCAGAACCGTTGTCCATACTCCACTGCATAGTCGGTAGGTTGAAATCCCCCACCAAACAGATTTTGTCATATTCTGTGGAGGCGGCCACAAGGCTGTCAGCAAGAGTGAGCAATGGCCGAGTATCTGCACTAGGGGGTCTATAAAACACGACTGTCAGAAGTTTGTTGTTTGCAGGTAACTTGACCTCCATCCACGTCAGCTCCACATCAACACCGAGTTCAATATCAGTTCTCCTGCGACACTGAAAAGAATAATGGCAGCCCAATAAACAACTCCCCCTCTTTCGACTCTATCCTTGCGACAAATTGTAAAATCCGGAACTGCAATCTCGGCATCAAGAACATCAGCTGACAACCAGGTTTCATTCAAGGCAAAGATCTTGTACTGACCAACTGTACACAGAGTGCCTCGGAAAGAACTGTGATAGCAGTCCAGTTTATTTTTGAGACTCCTCACAAGTTCTGGTGGTAAATGTCAAGGGTAATATCCTTTACCCTTTTGAAGTTGGTGCTCGACGATGGCTCGAATGAAGCTTCTGGTCCTGGGTTGGTTTCTACATCTCCTGAGAGACGGATGTTGAAAGTAGCAACTGAATTTAAATAGTAATTGATAGGTGATCGCCCAAACGTAACTGCAGCACGGTTCTACGGTGGTAGTTTAAGTACAGCCAAGAAGACATACTTGTGGCATGCAGCCCATGAGAAGATGCTTGTGAACAATAGCAGGTGCTGAGTGAACAAAACCCTAGGTATTCAGATGATTGAGGTGGTCAACCATACGATCAGTCAGACAGGAATTGTAGCTTGGGATGGCTAGGCTTGGGTTTGCTACACAGATGTCCAACAAACTAATTAGCAATCTAAAACCAAATTTCAATGCATTTCATCCTAAAGACACATTTGAAAGCATTGCGCTAAATAGGACTTATGAAACTATTGAAATGTTCGCTGCGATGGAACATCAATTTGACACCGCGGCAAGATCTTATAACTCGCCGCGGCGAGATAGTATGTAGCCGGAGCGGGAAAAAAAATGCAAGTGGCCCTTATACGCTTCCGTACATCGAAGGAAGCAGCCTTAGCGTAGCCTAGCGCCCTCGGGGTCGGTACCCTTTTCCGCACGGTTTCAATTTTGGTGCGCATGCGTACCTCTCGCGAGGTTGAACAATCAACGTTTTCCCATAACACTGACGTCACATGATCCATCGAGCCCCTAAGGATGTGTATTCAAGCGTGCATTCTCCACCAAATGGTTGGATTTCTGCGCGCGAGCTCGTTAATATTTTGTGAACCTATAGGGCTTTTACAATAAGACATGTCATGAACAGGAGGGGTCATAGAGATATTTCTATGAATCACGATTTTGGGACTGGTCGTTTCCAATAAGGGGTATTTCTTTCACAGATAGCCGAAACCTGCTGTAGGTCTCTTTTGGATAGAGGAGGGCGGCTACATTCAGAGCTGAGCGCGTATAGTTTTATTACTATTTAGGGGTATCTTCGGGGAAAGGCGAACAGAAAAAAATCGCGTGGCTAACCTCGATAAAATTGAAACGAAAAGTGAAATTCTGGCCATAATCTTGAATTTCCAGTGGAAAAACTCCAGGCAAAACCTCTTTTCAAGAGTCAATAAGTGGCGGTATTTTGGGCCCAATTTTGCACTGTTTTCTATGGGCGCGTATTTGGTGCAGTGTAACCTTTAACAAAAGCAACACCTTCAAAAAGAGAGAAAATAACCTAAAAAAGGAATTATTTCAAAATTATTGTAAATGAGTCAATAAGTACAACTGAAATCAAAACCCAGAGAGAAGTATTAGTTTGAAAGTAGAATTTCCAGTATCCAGTATTTATGCTTTTCAGCTGAGTGGAATCTTTTTGGTAGATTGTACTTTAGTTTACACATTTTTTCCACCTGGAAAATATAATTTTCTAATTTCTTTCTTTGTTGCAAGCAAAAAATTGTTGGAGCATGTAGAAAAGCGTATCGAATTATTTGTTATTTTTTATATTCTTTATTATTAATATTGTAATCGTTATTATTATTCGTTTGCCACACAATTCATTTTTTCCATTTTGTTACCTTGGGAAATAATACTAATGGAATTTCTGAACTTTTTTCACCCACTGACTTTCTCTGTAAAAATGAGTCACATATCTCCAGAGCCACTTTTGAGTTAAAAGCCTTTGAAAGAATCTTGCATAGTCCTCAACATTTTAACACCTACACAAAGTCCGTTTCAATTGTACCAAGCTCAGTGACACATTTAAAGAAAGAGCTAAAATTTCTCAATCAAATACAAAGTACAACTCAAAAGTAGCTCCGGAGCCTTCTGACTCATTTTTATAAATCGGGTTACATATTAAAGTAGATGGGCTTTGCTAAATGAAGGATAAAGGGGATATGCAGTCTCTTCATAATACGTGTACTTGTGTACATGAATATCATTTCTTAGCACACAAAACACTGGACCAAGCAAACCATAGTGTTCCACTGGGGGATTCCGCCGGAGGAAGTTTGTTTGTCGGGGAGTTTTGGTGTTTGTTTGGTTGGTTTGTTCGTTAGGGTGTTGGGATGTTTGGTTTGTATCACCATGGAGGCAGGAGCAATTTCAAAAAAATTCAGTCCAGTTGTATATGCTGAAGACCAGTAGCGCAAATGGGGAGGCAGCCTGATATGTAGTAACGGGATGGGCATTCAAAGGCAAAATCAGGGCTTTGTAATAAAAAGGGTCTCTTTAAAAATTTTTTTTACAAAAATTGTGATACTGTTTCGCCCGTCCGCCACGGCCCTAATCACAGGGCGTTGGAAAGAGAAAAGGCATGATATAATTGTTGTCCAGCCATGGGTCGAGCTCTATATTGAACACAAGACAGAGTTTCTTTTAATAAAAGGGTAAAAACTTCCGCGGGCGCGCAAGTGTGCACTGAGTCCACACATGCGTTAATACGTAGCACCGTCATTCTCCAGACGACCCTATGTATTATGTGTAATCCAAGACAAGGTTAGTGGCACGCGACACGGCTTTACATTTGAGGCAACCGCGCGGTCTTTAACTACATAATGTTATCTTTGACGTCATTTACCGCAGAAGACTTACGTACTGACGGAAACCTTGTCCCCGTAGCTGCAGTTCTCTGAAATCCTGCCAAGTGTTGACAGCTGTCGATTGCGGACTGGTACGGCCGGCCAGTTTTACACAGTGGGCACTTTATAGGCATGGTAACATGGGGGAAGGAATGGCCATTGATCATAGACAAAAGTATCACAGTCTCTAGAGAGTAGACTAATTTTGAAAATAAAAACACGAATCACATGATACGTTACTGAAGGATTCAATGTATTACTTGCGGCAGTCAATAGTAAGAAAGTTCCTGCATTTTCACTTCAAACCGGCGAAGAGTTGTTTGCGAAGTACTTGAATGATAATGACAGAATGAACAACACAAGGCTCAATCCATGGTAATTTTGCAAAGAAGAGAAAACTACATTAGTGCAAATAATTATTGTTATCATCACCCAGTTATGGTATGGACCCCTTGCAGCTGTTACTCGGTAATAGTCCCTTTAAAATGGCAAAAGACCATTGAAAAAAGTGAAGTGCAATACCCCTCTGCTCTGATGAAGTTGCGCGCCGCTTACCCAAATCAGAATAAGAGCATGCAGGACGCGTCACGATAATGGTTATTTCGTATGGCAATGCAGCTCATGGAACGAGGTTGAAATTGACTGATGTCGCAAACTCTTATCAATCCGCTTTCTATTTGGGCACGGATGTCCAGACTCCAGTGCGTCATACATAAATATGCCAAAAATGTGTTGGCCCACAGTGTATTTTGGCCATTCAAAACCAAAACAAGTTCGTCCTTTGACGAGTAGATTTTCCCTGTTGGCATGGCTGTGATGAAGATCAATTTTACCAAGAGCTTAAGGAAAACATCAAGATCATATTCACTAAGTATCAACAAATATCGGCCTGAATCCAGGAGAGTATCGTTTGGCCATCCCCTCCTTCCTCCATGGTTAGGCCTACTCATTTTTCTTCGCACAGTCACATACCCGGTAGAACGCCCTTCGAATACAGCCCCATGTCATCACCATCAAATGAGGTGTTTAGAGTGCCGTAAATTTATGCTGGAGACTTACGTTGGGGAATGACTTGCCTGGCTACGGAAATTTGAAAGGCGGGGGATTCTCCCGAAACAGATGTAAATTTGTAACATGTTCATGTATACATATTACACTCCTGCAGAACCTTACATCAAAATGGCGCATTTATGGCATTAAAAATTGCTAATGAATACATTTTGGCTGTTCGGGAGTGAGAAAAATTCTTTACAATTCGCCTTAATTTTTTTTTCTCCCCTAGAAAATATGTGTGTGGGTGTATAGGAAGATTCAATGGCACACCCACCCTTGGTCAAAAAGTGATGGAGGGTATACACGTACATGTATATCCCCACATCCCGTGGATTTACGCCTATGAGAGGAGCAGTTAGAACAGCAAGCCTGTAACCTTTATGGTTCTTTTTACTTGAACCAATATTCTTCGGAACAGGTTTGCACCTCAGTACACCGCACATGTTCATAGTTGGCATGAAATCGGCATGAAATCCAAACTTCCGAACTTTGCAGGAGAAAAAGTGTGACTTTGGTGAAAGCGTCAATCTCAAAGTTAGACAGACAAACGTGTAAAATGTGTGCGCGACGTTGATTTTCGGAGCGGAAAGGCTTCATTAGCAGCCGAAGGAATTGCAAAGTAGCAGCAAATAGACACATGTATACTACGGAAGGTCAAAAGGGCCAACATCAATTTTGTGAAAAACAAAAACAACACTTCTTTGTTAAAAATTAAATGTATCATGAAAAAAAAAAACACATACTGATCTTACAATTAACGAGGAAAACGGCGAACACGTTTTGAATGTTTTATTTATAGAAAATGTTTTAAAACAAAGACGAAAGTCAAATACAATACTGTTTCTGACCAATAAAAAGAGTAAATAAAGTTTATTATTCGTAATGCAGCAGCGAGTACTCCAGTTATGAATTTTTCAGCGAGAACACGTATTCCCTTTGTAGTCGAGTGGATACTGTGGGCAGTGGCCAGGTTTCTATTTCGTGCGACACCTGATGTTTCTAGTAACGTCATTGTAAAATTAAATGTATCACGAAAACAAAAATACTGATCTTACAATTAACGAGGAAAACCGTGAACAAGTTTGTTAATGTTTTATTTATATAGAATGCTAAAAACAAAGACGAAAGTCAAATACAACACTGTTTCTGAAAAAATAAAAAGAGTAAACAAATTACATTGCAACAAAAATAATTACACTCACAACAAACCTCTACTTATACAAGCATAAAAACCACAGAAAACTACAACTAACTATCTCTGGAAAGAATTAATTAACAGCAAGAGAATATATGATTGAGAGCGACTACTTTTTGTCCACAAGGTGCGCAAATCACTCAAACTTGTGGAGAAACATAGAATGCTGCGCAAATTAATCCAACACACACAAAAATTAACTAAACTGAAGTGAAGGAAAGAGAGCGGCATCCTCACAAACTGCACTTGCCCATGATAAATAAGAACACCAGTAACCTTTAACAGGAATATAAAGTGAAAGAAAGATTCAAACTTAAAAGGGGTGTCAACAAATGGTATCCACTGTAAACTTTTTTCGTGGTTAGTTATTTGAACATAGTAGGCCTACTCTGGCGATCTAGTTTTCCCAGAGCCTGCTGCCCAGTCGGGCCGGCCAACGTCAGCAAGCGACCTAGCTTAGACGGCCGGTGACGTGATCCGTTTTGGCGACAGAACCATATCAACGTCGAACTTCAGCTTAATACACCCAGATCGACAGCGGTAATGACGGGAGGAAACGTTACAGTTCATACACGACCAAGATGCGGATCCTTTAATTTCAAAGACATTCGCCTTCGCAAAGGCGCCCCACCTAAACTCTACAACTATGCATCAACGTTAATTTACAGTGGTGTATATTACACGTTTGGGGGGAATTTGACGATAGAGATCACATAAATTAACTTAGCTGCAGTATTTCTAAGCGATTATCAATACGTGTTGTGATTATAATGCCTCAATTGTTTCAATTATTACACACGAAACTTACAAAGAGTACGGGCTTTCTTCCGCTCAGGTACGAATTCTTCTCCGTGTCCTGGACGTCTGACAAGTGGGAAAAGTACGGTGGCCCTGGAGAGACATCGCCAATTGTCAATATTAATGTTAATATTTGCGACCACGGTTACGACCTACTTTTTGATCGCAAATATTGACGCCAACGTTCACTACCAAATTCACGACTCGCTCTCTGGTTGCAAATATTTCCGTCAATATTTGCGACCATACCACATTTCACGACTCACTCTTCAGTCGCGAACACTGATGTCAATATTTGCGACCAAATCTCCGGTCGCAAATATTGCCACGATTTTTTCCCCAAGCTAGGCGCTAGGCGGAAGTGGAGTGTTCACGCGCGAGCGCAATGACCTACATTTTTGGCAAGACCTCAAGTCGTTATTCGGCAGTGCAGTTTTGGTACAACGCGGGAGGCACAACGTTAAAACAATTGCTGCGTCTATAGCCGAGCAACTTCTCTCTCTAATGTAGGGACAAAATAAGAAAAAAAAAAAACTGTGCTCCCTGGTTTGCTAAGGAGCTGAATTTTTGGCCCCACTGGGCCTTCATCGGGGCTGTGGGGGGGGGGGGGCAATGGTCTAAATGCAGAAAAGTCCACATTCAAACCGTCTGGCGTCAGTGTTCCAGTGCGAGAAATATAGAAGGGCTGCGTAGCACCGTGATCAGAACATTGACAAGAATGTAAAGTAAAATCAGTGCTCTAAAACATGTAATTGCCTAGCCTAGGTGAACTCCCTGACCGTACTACGTTACAGAGGGAGTCCAGGATAATAGTTGCAAAATCGGGCAAAACATTTTGTAACTAAACTTTTCAACACTTCTACCTTTTCCAAGGAGCCAATTTCAAGTCCGTAAACTCCTATGCGTCCTTATCTCCTTAGCTGGTGGGAAAAAAATCGACATATCACCACCAAAGACAAAAACGGGAAAATAAAGTCGGAGGTAACTTTAATTCTTGCCATTGTTCTGGACTGTTTTCAGCCGTTCTCCAATGCAATTCGTACAGTGTGCGCGTGCAACAATTCAGCGTACGAGATTCCGAGCTGCGTACACGCACATCAAAACTACATATTGACAAGAATAATATAAAATCAGTGCTCTGGAATATGTGATTGCTGAGCTTTCGGTAACTGAGTACCTTCTCAAGGCAAGCAGATTCGGTTCCGAATGAACGCGGGAAAATCCACGTTCATTCCCCTTGGATGCAGCGTTCCAAGTTCGAAAATGACGCGCTGCTCCAGTCCCTTACGCTGTACATCAGATACAAGGTTGGCTGAAGTACACGTGAATTGTCCTCAGGGAGTATAACTGCCTTTGGGCCGTCGATCCGTGGGGGGTTGTGGATAAACCTGCAAGTATTACAGTGAGGGCAATTGAAGGCCGCAGTGCTGATGTTGCCGCTGTTGACATCGCATAGTGGTAGGATGACCGAACGGACTAAGGGTGCATTCCACCAAATGGTTGTATTTCTGCGCGCGAGCTCATTAATATTTTGTGATCCCACGGGATTTTTTACAATAAGACAGACCTTAACCAGGAAGGATCATAGAAATGTTCCTACAAATCCGGAATTTGGGACTGATAGTTTCTAGTTCGGGGTATTTCTTTCACAAAAAGCCCCAAATTGAAGGCCTAATTTGGATAGAGGCGGACTGCTACATTCATAAATGAACGCTTAGTTTTACTGCTGTTTTGGGGGTATCTTCCTTGAAAGGCGAATAAATTTTTTTTTCGTGGCTAGCCCCCATGAAATTGAAACAAAAAGTGATCTTCTGGCCATAATCTTGAATTTCCAGTGAAAAAACGGAGGCCAACCTCTTTACGAAAGTCAACAGGCATCCTATGCTGCCCTTATCCTCTGCCGCAGACCGTAGGCGCAGTCCGACTTCGGTGCATAAATTGTCTGCTCTTTGTCTCTAGGTATCTCACTCGTCAGGTGAACAGGAAGGTGTAGCTCACATCCTAGCCTTAACATGTTGTGAGTCTCACCCGTCGACTCCTGAGGTGTGGCTCGGTAAAAGCGAGTGTAGTAAAGGGTATCATTTCATCCCAATCGCGCTGTTGTTTAATCGGCTCGATCATCATGGCCATGTAACTCAAAGGTACGCCCCATGTCAGAACACCGAAACGACACACGTACTGATTAACCAACTTCTCGTCAATTGTCTCGGCGGTCTCATCGGAAAAAAGGAATACATGTACTCTTCACTCATTTGGTTAAATAATCGCCGACAGCTGGAATATACCGGTTTCCCTTACTGGTCTCCGGCAGGGGACTCACAATGCCCAAGGCGACCCGTTCCATGGTTGCGCCTACAATGCGTTGATGTAGTGGGGTGTTTTTAGTCTTAGAGGGAGATGTTCTTCTTTTATATACGTCGCATCGTCTCATTATCGACCCTAACGTCTGCAGACATACCAACCCAGTAGAACCTGGCTCGGACTTTTGCCATTGTCTTGTTCACACCTTAATGTCCCCTGACACACCACGATAGCGTTCCTAGACCAGATCTGCCGGAAATTTCTCCGGCATAGCAACACAGTGAGCCATTTCACCATGCAGTCGTTGTCTGACTCCTTCACCTGTAGTACACACCGCACGGGCGCATACTTCATCGGTGCTTTCGCCCTACTCTGGTTGGCTGGCTGGCACTGCGACCTCGCCATATTGTGCATCTGTAGACCTTTCGTCGCGCCCACACTGAGTACACTGCTTGTGTGACAGCTCTCCCCTTGCCACCTGTCACCTGCGACAGGACCGCACTATATTTCCACACCGCTTGCGTCGGTATCTAGGATGTAATCGGCTTCAGGATCAGGGTACTGTAACACAGGCGCATTCAGCAAGCAGTCCTTCGAATCGTTGAAGGCCTTCCCAGTGTTGTCATCCCACTGAAACTCTCGTGCTTTTTCGGTAAAGTGATGCAACGCGCGCTCTGTCAGTAAAATTCCAGATAAATCTCCTGTAATAGGAAGCTAAGCCTAAGAAACTTCGCACCTCTTCGCGTTCGTAGGCGCAGGCCAGTCTCACACGGCACTGATGTTGGCAGGATGCGTAGTGATGTCATCCCCTGTGCCCCAGGTAGAGTACACTCTGCTTAAATAAATGGCACTTGTCCAATTTCAGTTTCAGACCTGCCACCCGTAGGCGCTGGAAAGCTCTCCTGAGACGAATCAGCTCCTCCTCTTCTGTTTTTGCAAACAGTATAACATCGTTGAGGTACACTAATAGTATTTCCCAGTGCAGTCCTAACCTGCCAACCCGTCGTGGGCTTTGCCACTTATCACATATCCTGACACCAGCGCCTCATTATAGACGGGAATTCTCACCTCACTGACAACCACTTTTCCACAGGTTCCATTTCCCTTAGTATCAATTGCATCTGATTCTCTCACCATTCACCTTAAGCTCTAGTGTTTGGAAGTCTAGGATGCCTTTGGTCACCAGCAGAAAACCCATCCCCAAAATGTCCTTGATTTGGCCAGTGTTCCAGAACGCGACATTTAACGGACACGTAGTCCTGCCGACCCGAATTTCAATGCAGGCGTTTCCGATGGTTTTGATCACACTGCAGTCAGTGTCCACGAATGGACGACCTACTTCCTGCAGAGATTTCCTCTGTCCTTACCGCCGGCGATGCAACTCCATGAGATGATTCACTATCTTGCAGGCCTCAAAATACTGTTTGTAATCTCACCATGGTCTTCCCGCTATACCTGTCTGGCGCAGTATTCGGTCCCACACTCCCACAGGTATTCAGACAGCACAGAAAAATTATGTTCCACATGTCCTCTTTCATTTTCCTTTATATTTAGTGGGTTGACCAATGATTTTTTGAGAAATTCTCACCCAAAGCAGACCAGCCCTAAAATGAAGGAAATTTCACTGTCCGGGGAAAGTAGCCATTTTGAAAATGCATCCTCAAATAGTGCCACTTTCGGACCCGATTGCATACAAATTGCTCAGAATTGGAAGCTGAGTCCGAGATTCAGTGTCATATTTCTTCAATTCCCCAGTTCCATGGCTCTCACCCCCTATGATATATAATATTTTGAGTGGATAACTTTTATTAACGAGCTCGGCGGACATATTTCTGGCCTAAGTGCGAGGGTGCATCCGTAGGGACGGGGAGTAATCATACATGTTGCCTCGAGGACTGCCACCATGAATTTCATTTGTTTGTTTTTTTTTTTTCGGACTGTTTTATTAAGTGTTTTGATGGATAAGAAAGTAAGAGGGGAACCTATCTGTCCAACCAAAGTCAAAGGAATAATCAGTCGACATTATTCTTTGGTAATGGGGGGGGGGTTCCAGGATTATTCCAAGAAAATTGCTGCCGTGAATTAGAGTTTTATAGAAGAGAAGGGATGAGATTTGTCATCAGCATCAAAAGGGCCACTCCCCACTCTTTTCTTACTGTATGATTTTATACTGCATCATGGACGAGCCGTCTGCTTGCTGTTGTCTTAAGGAATGAAGGTATTTTTTAATGATTGATAGATCGATTGATCGGTTGATGTGTTTCTCTTTACATTGGAGCTATATGGCTCCATTTATTAAACCTCGGGTTAGAGTAACATCAAAAACTCACAACGCCAGGATAATATTGGTGCTAATCAAGGAAAATACAGATGTACATTTAAAACAAGGTAAACATTATTAAGACGCAGGTGCATGAGATAAAAGAAACAATAATAAAAATAGAAAGAAAATCAAATATGTAAGGCAAAACATATTAACAGTCCAATTAATAGTCAAAATTGTACCTCACCATTGGCTGCAATAGCACAGAGAACATTGTTTCTCGCGTAGTTCTCTATTAAATTTTCAGTGTTCAGTCGCGTGAATCCAGAAAGAAACCGTTTCAAATGTTGTTTGAACTGTTATGTCAAAATCTAGAACCGACAATAAACTATTAAATGCAATTGTACATCTGCAATTCCATAACTGCTGGAGCATTTTGTAACAACCACAACTGAGACCGGGTCAAGGTTATGTCCAAGTACTCTGTTATAATCACTAAGGTAAAAAATCTGTCTCCAGAGTATACCTTCTTAAAAACGCTCCACATAAACAAAAAACTGACACAGTGCAAGAACAAACAATCAGCAGATGCTCATGGGATTCAGGCTCAGTTTCACAGAGAGGACACGGGAACGTTACCTATATTAGATAAAACATCATTTGTGGGCAAAATTCGGTGTTTCACTTTATACAAGAATTGCTTATCACCAAGATCCATTAGCGAATCACAACTTTTCCAAATAATGGACCGTTCGGTCGGAGGAATATTCAGAACATTGAGCCACACCTGCTGTACTTTGGGTTCAACAAAATGCTGAAGCAGAAAATTTCTATAATTAGTCTTAGAGCTAGTTTTCTGAGAGATATAGATAGGACTGTTTGTAAAGGCCCCCAAAAGTAAGCCAATTGCAGATAGGATTTGTGGGGCTCTGTCTCTTTTCTCTAAAGAAAGGTCAATAGCTTCATTGACTCTACATATGATTCTACCACCCGTAATATTCATGATTTTATATTTACGAGCAACATTAGAAGAACATTAAATTACCATTACGAGCCAAATCCTTTTAAGAACAAAAATCCCAGCGTTTCTAAGAACACTGCTATCAAAGGGAGAACTATCCCCAATAACACAGATATTGCTATACAGAGGAAGGTTGCCAGTTTCCAACTTCAGAGAAAACCCTCTCACAGTATAAATTAGGGAATGAAATGCATCTTGTATTCTTTAATTTGCATTATGGTAATACAAATGATAGAATAAACAACAAGCGTATTTCGGAATACAAAAATTAACGTTGCATGAGAAACAAAGTTTCAAAAATCTTAAGTTGCAAACCATACAGTTAGTAAACAGTGGAGATCGCAGTATGAACGGAGGTTTCTTGAGAAAAAATGCCAGCTTTATGCATAAAATTGTACTGATGCACACAGCCTTTAACATATACATGTACAAACATTACATAGGGCCTAAACTTAACCTAATTTCTGTAAGGGTTAATTGGAAGTTAAACACACTATAAACTTTTTAAGATTCAAACTACTTGTATCACACTTGAAGACTTGGATGGAAATTAAAACAAAGCTCACATTCAAAGTTCGTCTATACAAGTCCAAGTGGTAGTTAGATTTTTGCTTTCCTTATAAAACAAAAAGTCTCAAGAACATCAAAGGATGGTTATATTTTTGTCACTTATATACGTTCATCAATTCCATCCGTCACTTCGTCATATCTGAACATGGCACTGCACTTCACACTGAACAATAAACCATGTCAACCCAACTTACATCGGTTGTAAAAGAAAGGTATGCTACACCCTATGCTTTGCCCTTAGGCAAGTCCATGATTTCGCACGTGCTGTATCCAATACATAATGGAGGTTTTGCCCTCATGGATTTCAGTGTTTCATTTTACTGTTGAGCATCTGGATGGAGCACAGCCAAAAGAATTTGTACAATACAAGTTTCTGTGATGAATATGTAATTATAATGAAAGCATGGTGTTAGTTTTTGGCAAATATGGGACCTTTTTCAGGGATTTACCTACCCCACAAGCTGATACCTAGTTAATATTCGATTTCGGAAGGAGCTACATTACTCTTATTGTAGTGGAGTTTCACCAGAATTGTAGTACTTCATATGAAAAAAAGGAAAGAGGCTAGTCAGTATCAGTCTAGTAAAAAGCAAAACAACAAAGCTGACACTCTAAATTCTAACAGACATTCTATACACCATTATCAATAATGATGTAGTACTATTAACCGAACTCAGCATTTCATACCCTGGACTAAAACAATTATCTGCCTAACATAAACAGGTGGGATATACACTCATGAAATGTGAGCCTGGCCGATCTCCATAAACCAAACAATATGTCATTTTTGAATTGTTAGCATGCTCACAAAGCTAAGGCATTGGTTCTTCAAATAACTTGTTGCACCACAAAAAACAGTTTCATTCAATATCTAGCTTAACTGACATTTGTTTAGTGAGTAAAAGATTATTTGCTTATCCCATTTGAATGCTGTCCAAATGCAGTAGGAAAATTATGCAAGTTACACAAAAAGTCAGCACGTGAGCAAATATAGGTTTAAAGTGTTTCTTTTTAGTGCAAATTTCACAGGTGGCCTACTGCTGCCTTGGATTTAAAACATGAAGTATGAGGTGCAAATTTGAAAAGTAAACTTTCTTCAGATATAATGTAAAATAACACACATGTAATAACCCACTGCATCAAACAACATATGACTGCAAAAAGAGAAGACTGTATTTTAAGCTGTATTTTAATAAATTCAGCATAATGAAATTTGAAACAAAAACACAGGAAGTTTCCATTCAAACTGTGTAAAGAGAAATTGGTACCGAGGGTCTGAGCATTTTTTAAAGTTTATTTCAAATAGTATCCAGCAGTACAAATGTCAAATGGTTGGAAACAAGACTATTCATTAAAACAATCACCAAACGATATCATGTAATATAGAATCAAACTGAAAGTGTACTGAAACTTTACAGTCACTGTTTACGGTTGACTATCCTGCAACTGCCAACAAGAGAAATGGACACTTTAATTGGGATTTGCATTCTGCAACACATTATGCCACAACACATTCCAGGAAAAACTGATTTATGCATGGCACCCTGGAAAAAACTGATCTGATGTACAGAACATGTACAAAAATATGACTTGAAGACTAATATTCCAAACTCATCAGAAGTGCTGTTCCTCTCTTGATCCAGTGGTCAGCAGTAAATACACCTGATTTGAGGTCAATGCTGACAACGAATGATGCTCTACCTGTGCTGCCAGCTCGGTTAGGATAGTAATAGCAAGGGCAAGAATACATTCCTGCAAGGAAATCAGAAAATATCCTTTGTTCAGCTGTCTATGACTATGCAATTCAAATGATTTTTTGACACCTGTTCACAAGGACAATAGTTTGAAATATTTCAGGAAAAGGTTACAGAAAGGAAAGTGTAGAAGGCTGTGTTCATTGTCTTCTTATCCAAATAAGTTCAAATTTTAAAGATGACAAATTAAACAGCCAGTATCATACAAGAAATTATTGAAATCTTTACCATTTCACTAAAATAGAACTTAACAATATGTAAAATGAAAAAAGAAAACAAACCTTTTCCACTCTTCTTTTTGTTTTCAACAGGCTTAAAGTGGATGGTAGGGATAGGGCAAACTAGTTGCATTGGCTTAGCTTCCACAAGACAAGCATTCTTCTTGTCCCAGCCTGCTCCCTCAAGGAACAGACCTTTGATATACACACCATCCTTAGGTGGCTCCACAATATTGTTGTCATCCACTGTGGAGACAATAAACTCCCAGGATAGAGAGTCCACTGATACCTGAACAAGAAAACAAGTTATTATGCTCATACAATTGGCCTTTCTGTGTCAAACCAAACCAAAATATCAAACCAAATAGCTCCATGATCAAACTGATCCTTTTTGCACTACTTACAATAATGCAAGGAGGTAGAATTTACCAGATTCTATATAACATTCGGGTTACCAACAATGTTTTTTTGCCAAGGTCTTATGAGCCTATCATCACTTCATCTTTTGTATTTTTAATCTCATCCAGCCTTCTAAAATCAAAAGCTATGATGATGTTGCTTGCATGTATGTTTCACTCAAACACACCCACTGCAGCATATTCCCAAAGCTGACGATTTTGTTGAAAATAATCCCATTTGGCAACTTTACTGCATAATATAATCACTGATCACCACAAATGCAACTGTTTTTACCTTCAGGATACAACTAATTTGTATGCCTCAGCTGTTGATGTTAAAAAAATGTTGCATTTTGTTTGCTTCCAATTTTGTGTTTGAAGCCAAAATTTCTGTTATTACATGTTTTTTCTTTTTTTTTACCTAAAGCTTATGTTACCAAGCAAGCGTGCAACTTGGACTTCAACATAAACTGAGGAAATTCCATTATTTACAAGACTTTGCACAGTGTTTTCAATTTTCAATGGCAGGAATGTTAAGTGAGAGATGAGGGAATCAGCTGATCAGAGGAAATGTTGCATTCCTAACCATGACATCATGTTGAAAACACTAATCAGATGATTGTGGAAAATTAGACCAAATGGCATATGTTCAATTTTGCCACAATTCATTTCAAAAGTTGTGTAACCATGATCATTGCTGAACTTATCAAGTTTGATCAAATTTAAGAAATTGATAACTTTGTTAGCATGAGTAATAAAATTCTTATTTATCCTGGAGGAAACTCTGTGCTTAGCTGCATGTCTGCACTGACAAAGGTAGAATTTTTCCTAAAGACGACTTGGGTTTTGTACATGTGCATGCTTTCATGACTGAAGTTGTTAAATGTTTCTGAAATACTCTTTTTCCGATTTTGTATTCCAGTTCGAATGTACTGACTTTGAGAAGACAATGGTATGGAATACAAACACACATATGCAAATTGCTGTACTTACAAAAAAAATTTGTTTGAACGGTATTTGTGTATGGATGAGATATTGAGGCTTTAGTCTGTGCATCCAGTCAGAACTTTTAAAAAATTTAATATAATTCTGTGGTTAAAAACCAAATATATCATTGTATGAGCTCACATTATTCTGTCTTGCAGAAGTTTGCAATACTGCTGTTAGGTATCCCGTAGGGAATGTGAATGCGGACATCCAATATATAACAGGAGGATGTGCAGTGCTTGCCCACTTTTCAAACTGTTCAACGCGTTGCACCAGATCACGAGTCCAAGATCCAAGTGACTTCATAGATGGGTATGCCTGTTAACAACAAAAACAATTTTGAATTTTCCACCACTTTTCCAACCCCAAACACCCCAGACATGTACACATTCACAAAGGGCCTGAGCGGGCTTCAGCCCTCCTAAGACAGTGTTCAACCAAGTCCCTCCCAATGCAGTTGTGTACTAATTGGTAATCATGAATCAGCAGGGCTATAAATATAAAAATGACTAGCAATAACTTGTTTCAATGCCTCGGTGCCTTATGTACTTGCTACATGTATGCTGTAAAATTGTTGCTGTTTGTTTTTGCATATGATGGGGCCCACAAAACATTGTTTGGTACTTTTAGCCATCACTTGATATTGCAAATTTTAACACTGCTGTCCCAAATCCCTTACCCATTCAAAATAATGTGAGTTGAACTGATTCATAAATGTTATTGTCTAAGGCTTTGGTGGAAATAATCAAACCATCAAAGTACTTGACAAAAAGCTACTATCTCTCTAAACACAAATTTGCCATTTTCAAGAGGTCAAAATACAAAGGAAGGAGATTTTTTAATTTGGAAAAAGTTTCTCACAGCACATTCAACTAACCTTCTCCCACATTGGAGGTACTCTGGCATCATTGATACAGTTGAAAATTTCTTCAAGATCTGATGACATGACCACCAGACCTTTAATGCCTTTCTCCAGGTCAATCAAAGAAGACCGAATGATTTGCAGGAGAGCATTGTAACGCTGGATCTATAAAGATTATACAAAATAAAACACTGAGTGACACATCATTGTGAAAAGGAAAAGCACACGCATTTCTTAATTGTGTTTCTGAAAAAAGCACTGGGGCAGAAGACTCAATAGTGAAGATAAAACAATCATGAGACATGTCCACTAATAGATATCCAGCACATATCAAAAAAATCAAAATGGTAATCTGAATTTGGAGGTTAACAAGTCAGGGTTATTTATTTCGGGAATTTTCATTCAGTTCCCATTCATCAATTAAGAATAGCTCATTATCTTTCCATTAAAACTTTTCTTGCAGCGTTGCTGTTATACATGAATGAATATGTGTATACTGTTACTGAAAATGACTAGTTTATATCTGATTGCTGCAAGTTTGATTACTTTTGTGCGGACATTTAAAGAGTAAAGTGTTTGCAACTCCTCCTCATGACCTTGGCTATAAGCAGGGCCACATTCAACATGAGGTAGATGCTTTTCACCATTATCTGGCTTCAGTTAGACAAACAGTTCAGAACATGCTCCGTTGCTGTCAGCTTCATATCACAAGGGATCTTGGACATGTTGAAGGTATGGGTGTATAAAAGGGCAAAGTAGGAAGATATCTTTGCAGTCGTTCCTGAAGAAAATCTAATTGAGCAAACTGACTTTCATTGATAATACTGTCTTAAGACAGGATAAGACCTGCAGATAGTCTTTAATTTATTTAAAACCAACCAAGCTCATTTGAACTGGGTGTTCTTCATATTGGCCAACTTGGAAGTACAAATATTACAGAAAGACCCACTTAAGGGCCCTGGAAGCTCTGGGGTCTTAGATGCTCTCTTTTGCAATCTCAGCCTATTGCATAACAGTTTTGCACAAGAATAATGACCAGTTGGCAGAAATTTTGTGAACAAAGTTGTTACTATCAGAAAGAGATTTGGTTGAATCAAGAGTAGTGAATGACACTGACAGGGTAATGTTTCATTTTAAGAATAATGGAACATGCAAAAACTATGCATCAAAAGACAAATTTCCCACCTTTTCTTCAAGTTAATAATCAAAAGTAGGCAGCATTTCACAATTTATATTAAATGTAGGTTTTTTGAAACTTCACAACTTAGCATTACCATGATTGAACACATGATATTCATGGCCTTTTGTAATCTGCGAGTCAGGGACATCTTTCGAAACTGTTTCCTGCAATGATTGGCCACACATAGCAGCAGGCTGTGTTCAAAAATGAACTCAGTCATCAGTGCTTCAGCACTGATTAATCATATGTCAGTATCACATCTAAGCCCATTTTATTGTTTAAAGTGACAACTTTTATTTTTCTTTCATGTAGAGTTTTATTGAGTTTCCCAATTTTGGCTGCAACATTTAAGAGAAGCTGCTTGATTTAAATATTCATTTCAGTGTGTGATGTCATTGATTTGCATCAAACACAAGGTGCTTGGGCTCTAGATTGTGGACTTTAAATGGTAAGTACAAACAGTTGGGACGTTTCAATGGGTGTGGTCTTTTCATTGGGTGCACTGGAGTGTAGTGTTTATAGAGTAAAGGTGCGCTATCCATGGTCAGTCAGTTGTTTTGCTGTAAAGCATATTAACACCAGTGGTCAGGCTCTCCAATCCAACAAGAGTAATTTAAGCTAAAGGCCTTGTGCTCTTTTGGGGTTGCCATACTTTGTCAGTTTATACATCTTTTCCCCGTTCTGAGCGGACCGTCAAATGACTCTGGAACTGGTGACTGACTGCAGACAACCGTGAAGCCACAAACTGTAAGAATTGTTTTCTGTGTTGAGTAATTTAGGGTACTTGTATAAAAGATTATTATAATATTTTGATAGAAGAGTCATACATTTTGATGTTCCTAGAAAAGTCACAGCTTTGATAATTGTCAGCCACTAGGAACAGTATTGTACAACTGTTTGGAGTTGGATTTATCAACTTTTCCAGAGAGCCCTACCATATGGCAGTTTTACTACCTTGGGTCCGGCCAAGACGTTCTCCACTGTTCTGTACTGTGTCTAGTGAGGGTGTAACTAGCTGTTTGGCGGAGCGCTACAACTGCCGTAGACATTCGAGGCCAATGCCGACCAAGATAAACTGTTATTTCACACTGTATTAAAGGCTTGGTTTTATAATTTAGTTTGTGTATGAAACTTTAGCCTGTGTGGCACTATTTAGCCTGTGTGGCATTGCTTACCCTTAGTATCGGGTGAATATTTTCTTCTAAACTTGGAAGTAGCCTTGGTGGCTTTCGTAGTAAATTTTGTTGCACTTATCGGTAATTACATGTGGTGTAGTTGTGGAATATTTTGCTGTTGAAACTGACTTTATTTACAATACTGTAGTTCTATTTTCTTGTGATTGTACCTTCAAAGCATAGGGTTTGGTGTTTTGGCGTCTAATGTAGTTCTTTTAATCAAACTTCAAAACAATACTCTGACGTCAGTTTTTATGAATATCCTCATTTGAGGAATTGTAAAAAACTATGAATGAGTGAACCTCGAGACTGTAAATAGAAATAAATTATTTTATTAAGATATATGTGTGTGTTTGGCTTTGCACTGATTTAGTTCTAACAGTCAGAAGCAGTAGCAAAGAAACTAGTCAGTGGTCTTCCAAAGGAAGGCCTCAACAGTGGTTTTATGCTTCGAGTTAACATGCTTCTCTGTGTTGCTTGATCCGCCATGGCTTATGCTGAAGTTGGTTGGAACACAAGTCACAATGTACGTGATGTTCTCTGAGTTTCGATAACGACAGTACCAAGAATCTCGAGAATATTCTGGTTGTACTTCTGCAAAAGGTGTTTCTTTTCTTTACTTGTGTTGCTCATTTTGATATCTCTCAGAAACTCATTTTAAATCAGCGAGATTCAGCAAACAGCATTCAGAAAATGCATGCACACGGCGAAAACAACATAACGTCATTTCACGTGCGAGTGCACTAGTTCTGTACTAAACCATGTCGCCCGCTGAAAAGTGTCCGGGGCTGTGCTTGTGGCAGGCAAAAAATATCCATAATGCATTCGATGCGAGCGGAAATATGACTTTGATGGCTACACTATTTAGCATGGCACCGGCATAATTATTAAGGTGCTAACCTCTGCTCCAGCTGTTTTAAAAGAATTAGGCTCATCTCTGCTACAGCTGTTTTTAAGAAATTTCTAAAAATCGTAATTTTGGGACTAAAATTTGTAATTCGGAATCTATATTAAAATTTCATAATTCCTCCAAAATCAGAATGGTTGGCAGGTATGGTTCTTTACTAATATAAAATGGAAAAAAGCATTGTAAACATATATGAACTAGTGATCATGCACTGAGTGCATTTTTTGTACCTATCTCTTCCTATGATTATACACAAGTGTGTTTATGCATATCTAGGCTACAGAGTTTATATTTCACTCTAAAACAAGTGGTAATAATCCAGCCTTGTTTTGAAACCGTATACCAGGGTTTGGGGCATTGAGAGCAAGCGGATTACCACCAGCGACAAAAGTGCTCCACCACTGCAGTGATGAGCCACACAGCACCGCTGCACGCTAATCTGGCCCCTATTGAAAAGAGGTCAGCACTGCACTGAGCCAGGTTCGTGAACAAAAGACAGTTACATAACACCACACAATCTGGGCTCTGTTTACAAGGCTGCAGGCCTGGCTGAAATACTCGGGCGTCAATGAAGGTCACCTAACAACTTAGAGTAGTGCCTAAAGATTACTTGATGCGGCTATAAACGACCGTTAAATGAAATGATGAATTTTTGAAGGATTTTGAAAATGGAAAAAATGATAGTCATGCCGGCCCAGCATCATCAACATTGAAAAATGCCCCAGCATGAAGTGGTTAAGGCCCCTCTGCTTTTCAGCATTGTGTTCTCCATGATGCCTTCAAGGACTGGGACAGAGCAGTGAAGATCCAGTCTCATTCAAATGGGAGAGTGATCAACCTCCAGAGGCTGAAGGCCAAGACTAAGACACTGTGGATGAAGTTGTGGGATCTACTCTTTGCCGCTGGTTGCTCTTTGATCACTCAAACCTTAGAAAAGATCCGCAATCATCGTGGATCAGTTTGCCAGGGCTTCTGTTTTATACAGCTTAAGTATCAATATCAAGAAGACGGAAGTGCTTTATCAGCTACAGCCGGGCACATTGCCTACAAACTCTGTCATCACCACTGGTAACGAACCACTCAAAGCCGTGGATAAGTTCTGCTACTTGGGTGGGATTGTCTCGCAGTATACAAAGGTCGACAATGAGATCACGGCTCGCATCAGCAAAGTTAGTGTCTCCTATGGACGACTTGAACATCATCTTAGGTCCAAGCGCAGTATCAGACTCGGCACCAAGAGTTAAGTCTATCGCACAGTTGTCCTGGCCACGCTATTTTATGGCTGCGAGTTGTGGCAACGTATCGACCCCACCTGCAGAAGATCGAACAATTTCACATGTGCTGCCTACGGAAACTGTGTGGTGTTACCTGGCAGGATCGAATTTCCAACACCAAGATCCTTGGGATATGCAACATCACCAGCGCCGAGTTCTTCATCAAATGCGTACATTGACGCTGGGCCAGCCATGTCATGCGCATGGGTTGAAGTTCAATGGCTCACTTCTGCACTTTATTGATATGGTCATCGTTACTGGGAGCTGATGGGGACATTGCAATGAAAATACTAACAAAGTTTTTCATCTTTACGTAAGTGAAGACATATGGGTCATAGAGCACTGCATACTCACTCCAGTAGTAGACCCAGGCACCTGTTTGATGCCCATGGAGAATATTTACAGCCACATCGGCTATCCTTTCTCTTGCAGTCGTTGGACCCCAATGTGGATCAAATGTGGCATACTCAGTAGCTAGATGAGCAGGGAGAAACCTTTGACGTAGCACGTTGTTGGTATTTCTTGCCAACAGTTCAAAGAATTCATTACCAACAGGGCACAAAACAATGTCTCAGGTGCATCACAGTTCAGAGTACACTTTGGACCTGGTGTTTCTGTGTATAATTTAACATTCAGCTGGGGTAAGGCGTGAGGTCAAAATACAAATGCTTTTGAAAGTGTTCAACGCTTTATATTGCCGCTAAGGCTTACCGACGGCCAACATTGAACAGACAAACACTTTAGCGGGGCTGGCCAAACCGTTTGCGGTCAAGTGCACCATGCACTCTGTAGCTTCCAGTAAACAATGGACAGCTTATCACATTACCGCATCATAGACTTCTGGGGTCTGGTGGATGAGTCATGACAATAGCTCTTTACTTCGCAGTTCCGCAGTAGGATTTAGATTGGCAGACTGTTTTAACTTCCTGATAAAACGTGTATGGAGTACTTTTGTGACAAATGAAGTGTCGATACCCTGTAATCTTGGTATTTTGTCTGGGTATCATGAGTCAAATACACACCTAAATGTATTCCTGCAGAATCGATTATACTCACTTGAAATAGCATTTACCTGAATCGTACATGACATAGTTTTCTGTTCATTAATGTGTAGTTATAGATAAAACCTCTTTGCGTGTGTGCAAGCTGGGACTCAGCATTACGCACTCACAGGTTTTCATGTGTAGGATCGAGGAAACACGTACGTGAACTACGCACTTTCACTTTGTGGCGGCACCTGCACGATTTCAAGGATACATGCTTTTTCTTCAAGTCAATCATGCGTGCACATTGCATTTTGTTTTGTAGGGTTCTGTTGTACTGTTTTTATACTTTGTGGCTGCACAAAATTCATGTTGGAAAACAAACAAGCCCGGTTTTATACTAATTTCTGTTGCTTGACTTCACCTATTAAACTTAATTCACAGTAAACAAAAAACATGAACATAATTTAACCTGGTGCTGCAGGAGAATCGCCAAACCGAACCAGAAATCATCAAACAAGGCACTTGCGAACTGTTAACCAAACTGCTCAGTTCGGATGTTCGGCTTTAATATGGCATTTTATTGAGGCACGTGGGAGTACATAATAGAAAACTTAATAAAAAACAAACATAACGAAAAATTGATAACGAGTTGTATGGCGCGCTCCACATGTGCGTGAACATACTGAAACTTACAATGGCATCATGAGATGCCTGTAAAAAGCACTTGGTGAGAATCACTCAAAACTAAACCAAGAATATGCAACGTACAGCACTGTTGCTGCATAACAATTCTAAATTCTCACTACATTCAATCGTGCTCGTGCATATTCAGATTTAGTATAATATTTGCCAATCTCTGATAGCCGCGCCATTACATTCCATTTTAGGCTAATGACGTTCCATATTAGGCCAAAGATGTCATAAATGGCCGTGCAAAATGAATTTTGATTGGATGCTGATCACAGTCGGATTCGTGCTAGATCAAAGGCATCTCCAGAGGGAAATTTTGCCAAGCGGTTTGGTGCATGCAGCGCTTCACTGCAGCGCACGAGAAGATTTTTGTTCGCGTGGTGGCCCAACTTGCCTTTCATTTGAACGTGAAGGGTTTGATTATAGTGGGAATGTGTTGTAATGGCATTTTGCCAGATCCCAAATAACAAAATGCTGTTATCCCTCCGGAAGAGGCTATTGGAAATCGCCCCTTGATCACGTGGGCACCGTCCTTGGAAGGTTCCTCTTCATGCAGATATGCAACGAAAGGGATATTTTCGTAGTTCAATCTATTTCACAAAAATAACCAAAACACAATTTTCTCAAGATCTAATTTGATCTTGTTTTCTGTACTTAAGGAGGAAAGTCCTATTTGAGCATGCTGTTTTTTTCTATTTGCACATATCTTACGATTGTTTTGTTGAGTCAAGCGTGGCCCGAACACAACCGCTTCTGGCAGGCAAAACACGGTCAGAAACTGCCACACCTCGGGCGGTAACCTTAATGGAATTAACTCGTAAACAAACTCTGGGAAAACAGTTTTGAAATATATATTCAAATCAAAGTTGCTCGTGGATGGGGATAGATAGGAGCTTCATTACTTGTATTAACATATTTTATACATAGAAATACTATACAGTGTGTATAAAAAACAACGCAACAAGATTTCTGTTCAAGTTTGTAAAAATTGTGTTAGCTTTACACCAAAGTGAGTAGTAGCACCTTAAAGCTACTTATCTCCTCTTTCCAGTATGTTATTTATGCATACATGGTCATGGATGGCCAACTAATCATTCTTTTTGGACAATGGGACAAAATGGGCTTCGGACCAAGTTTCAGCTTATTAAACCAGCATAAATCCTCTTCAATTCTCCATCTCTCTTATGAAATGTTCAGTCAGGCGAGTCATTACATAATTTCTGGATCAAATGTGTGTTGCATTAATGTGCTTGTTACAAGTTATAGCCCTGCAGAAAGACATCCTGAAGAAGGCAATGTTAAGTTGTGATTATTCATTTCATTATTCCATGTTGTTAAGTTAGTTTCTAATAAAGATGCCATGGTTATTGCAGTGTCTAGGACTTGGTCCCAAGCCCATTTTGTCCACTGTCCAAAAAGAATGATTAGTCGGCCATCCATGACCGTGACCATGACCAAATAAATAAGATATCATTGGAAAGAGGAGATACATGTAAGTTGCGTTAAGGTGCTACTTCTCACTTTGGTGTAAAGCTAACACAATTTTTACAAACTTGAACAGAAATCTTGCTGCTCTTTTTTATACACACTGTATAGGCCTGTGCGGCACGTTTGAGCGAGCTCTTCGATGTTTCAGTGTGCTTTGTACATGTGTAGGGGTGTATGTCCGAATTCCAACCGAACCACAGTTCGGCAAAAGATTTCCAAACTGTGTCCAAACCAAACCTTGACACTTACTTGCACCACTATTCGATACGCAGTTTGACTTTATTACCTTCAAAGAATATTGGTGCACCTGACTGAAGTTCAAAATAAATTCATATTGTGTCAATGTGCATACTTTTCTTCAGAGACGATGGATCAGGCGTTAAAATAGGTAACCGTGTTTAGCAATTCCTGGCACTCCCAGATAAACTTCTTTATTTCCCAGTCTAAAAAAACGCTTAATTAAAGATGAACATAAGTCTTATGGTGATGTTTTTTTGTCATGAATTGCTAGAACAATGTCTGTAGCCTAGAATGCAGTTGATTTTGCATCTCTGTCACAAGGTGTTAACTAGTAATCCTTACGGCCAGCCAAGGAGAGCTGACCGGGGCCCACTGGAGTTCTCCTTGATTGGGATCTTTTGCTCACAACTAGGGCTATGTAAGCCACAAACTCCATTGTTGTCAAGGTTGCCCATGCAGCTAGACAGTCCAGGGAAGATGGTTCTTTTCAAACCGTTGAACTATCCCAAGCCAAGCAACAAACAGAATTATTAAAAGGGGGATTAACACCAACCGTTGAACTGTTTCTAAACCGTCTGTATTTTGACCTCACGCCTAAAGTAGCAGACCATCCTTGATGAGGAACTGCACCATGTGTACCATGTGCGGCTTTAGTATCCCTACCTTGTGTAGCCCCAGCACCCCTAGATTTACTGCCTCTCACGTCACGCCTTCCTATCATGCTACATAATGAATTGTTTGATGGCTTTGGTTTGAGTCATCATATTGCAAAGACTGCCATCCTCATTATAGGCAGGAGACCTATGGAAAGCGAGATTTTTCAGCTGCTGCACTCGGATATGGAATGATATCCCCCCCTTCAGTTCATGAAGCCTCAAATCAAGTGAAAGACTACAGTCCCCAAAATAAAAGCAAACACAAAATATCTGCCATAACTTCCTGTGCTGCTTTATAATGTTCACATCATGTGTTGTTTTCATCAAGAGTAAGACGTGGTCTGACCACAGCAGTAGCCCAGAGGCTAGGTTCAAAATGCCAAAAATGTTCTCTCTTGTTCTTATTCATCGTATTGAGTTCACACTGACTTGAATTGACTCAAACAAATTACTTGATTTTTTGGACCCAACAGCTGGACTCAAGTCACACAAATCAGTGACTCATTACAACTCTGAAAATCTTTGCCACTCATCAATTGCTAATGCACATGGCCTTTTATTTGTTCCTTCATATTTGCTTGGGCATAATGTTTGGTAAGGATGGTCAATATTTTGTTGTCTGTTTAAATAGTTTCGAAGGGAAACTGGGCTTTAATTGTATGACATGCTTCCAACTGTAACAGAAAATCCACAAAAATACAAGAAAGAATGGGCTGAATTTATTATCTTTCAATGTACCTCTTGAAGTAGGACAACATTTAGTGGAGATGGGTCATCTTTCAAGATCTTGGCAGTGCCCTCATAATCGATGTCAGGTGGGATTTTCTCCAGAACATCAGCAGCCAGCTTCTGAACCTACAGAGGAATACAACAGATCAGTCCAACATTTTCAGCACATGTTCCACACCTCTGAGAGAAAATTAACTCCATTTGCACTTGCAATCTGGATGTTCCTTGGTATGTGCACTGTTTAGCAGGGTTGGCAATTTTTTTTATAAAAAAAAAGGATATTTAATTCAAATCTGATTTTTAATCGAAAAATTAGACCTTTTGGATTTTTATAAAAAGCTGAGACAAGGCAGCTCAATAATCCATCCAAAAGCAAGCAAAGTAGCTGCAAGGGCATCTTTTATGTATCTCGTTTATTACAAAATTAAACAACTTTGAAATCAAATTAAGAAATATTAAAAAGTAATTAAACTAAAATCATAAACCACCCTAAATATTGTGTAAGCACAGAGACAGGTACAGTCCATATACCAAGGATAAAGTGCGTACCGGGTTTCAAACAAAACTCTTAGTTTTGACCAAACTAGAGTTGACAAAAATTTGTTAAGAGGGTACTCATCCAATGACTAATGAGTGAGAAACACGCCATCAACCATGAGTACATATTTTACATGCTTTATGTACAAAATGCTGGTATTTTACCGAGCCCCACACACAGGGCTGTGGATTTCTCTCTTTTGAAACTTGTCTCTCTCTGTGGCCATCACAGCCCTACTTCAAGGCAAGACTTTAATGTCTGAAATCCAAACTGCAGGATTGTCACAAACTTTGAATCCTAACATCTTCTGAAATAAGTATGACTCAACAATTTTACTTACACTGTCCTATTCCTCAGAGTTTGGACTTTCATATGAGCACCCTAAAGCTTTCCAAACCGTATTTTCTGATGTATGGTGCCTAGAAAAACCCGGCCTGTTGTGTTAATATGCTGACCGTGTATGTCACCATTTTGAAAATAATGCCTACTAATGAAGGCAATGCTTCGTGTGTCAGATTTCAAGGCACCTGACAGGATGCTCGGGTTATAGGTTGTACCATACAAATCTGGTTCCTGTCACCTTGAGAGTCTGTGCTTGCACGAGAGGTGAACAGGGTACCGGTGAAATTTGAATAACACCCGTGCACTCGCACCTCATTCGTGTATACTCGTACATGTAATGTACTGTACATGTACGTTGTACGAGAATAAATGTACATGTGACCATGCTCCACACATGTTCCCTGGGCGTACTGTACAATAGCAAAGCGTTCATACAACTCATTACTTATCAACACAGTGACAATATGAATTATGCATTTACAATGCCTGTCAGGGGTCTTGACTTCCAACGCACAGGGTTTAACAGATTCTTTTGGGGGGTACCCCTTCTTTAACTTTGCCTTCTTCTGCTACTATGTATTGTATAAAAGAAAATTGTGGTCTAACGTTTCAAAATTCAATTTACAAACAAGAATTCATATATCCATACTTTCTGTAAACAATCTGTACAAGTTGGCAGCTATGATGGTTTTGCCAAAGAGCCCACAAGACATTTTATTTTAACTATGAATGGTTGGTAATATTGCAATCTTAAAGAAAGTCATCTTAAAGTGATGAGCTGTTGTTAAGTAGCTGTGTATACCTTACTCTCTCTGCTCTCCCCTTGTTTGACAGAGATTTGAGGCTGTAATGAAAGCAATGTGTCAAACAACAGTCTTGTCTCAGTGATCTGACTGGCAATGTCTGCATTAGGATGTTGTCCGAAGCTTTCTGGGTGATCTACACCTGGAAGCATGCTGATATACTCCTGGTTGGGGAAAAAAAAAATCACAATTTCTATTCTTTCTAATTCTTTAATGCAGAATAGCCAAGAAGTGACAGGTAGAACAACAATGACAATGACTGTTTCATTATTTTGAGGCAAACGCAACCACATGCATGAATGCTGTGCTTGCTCGAATGTAACTGTGAAAAGGTCAGACAGTGAGAGCAACTTGGAATTGCTTTTCCATTGACAACGTTGATCAACTGATCAACACTGATGAAGTTGAACTGTCCCAGAGTAAGGTCCTGACGAATTTCAGGCAGATAGCCTTGGTCATTTGCTGAAAATGACATCTTACTATACCCATTTTTTTCCATGCTATTAAGCCCCTTATTACGGCTGGAAGGTCAAGAAACTCTTGAGGACAAGAGTCGTATTATGACATCATCATATTGCCAGATTTGTTTGCTGTCCTGATTGACACATTTCTTTTCCCCTGAGAATTCTCATAGAGGAACCGAACTCCCAGAATGATGATTTTTTAATAAATGGAAAGAGAAGCTGTCACATTAGACATGATATCACTAACAACAACCAAACAACAAATTCCCTATTAAATAACCATTTCATGTCAAAGTAATGTGATTGATCTTTAACTTTATGAAATAAAATTTCAATACATTTTTAAAAACATTTTTGACTACGTAGCTGGTATGTGGCTTTTTGAACTTTAATCTTTTAGATGTAAATAATACTAAAAAAAGGAAATTCTTACCTTCTTCTTTAGCAGGTTGGCATTACCATTTCTTAAAAGACCAAATAACATGTTCAAAGTAACCATCCCAAACTTTGATAGTTTACGGTACATAATTCTAAAATGAATGCTAACGCCCACCCAATCCAAGAACAGCCAAAGCTGAGTTTGAGAGTTGAGTGCAGGCCATACCTTATAAGCTTGTAATGGTCCATCTTTGGGAACATAGTATGTTTGCAGTGAAGAAAGCCTAAATCAGATACAAAGACAAAATCAAACACAGAGTTTAAATCTTTTGCTAGTAACAGATACTGTAGTATTATTCTCAGACTTGAATGAATGAAAAGAAACCCACAAGTTTTACTCATACCACATTTGTTTTCTGTCTGGTTCCAAAATGCATTAACAAGGGGTACACCAGACCCCTGCGCTCACCAGTCCCAGCCATGATATAGGGCACATCAGACCCACCATATACATGCACATTCACTCCAGATACATGTAGGGCACACCGGGCCCACTCTGTATGCTCCAGGGCATACCAGACGATAAAATGGGGGCTTACACAAGACCTTGTCATACGTGTATAAATCTCAGCAATGATCCTCATGCTAGAACACACCGGACCATGCACACCTAAAGTGTTAGAACCAGGGCACAGATCCTGCCCAATTTGAAATTTCATTATAACAGCAATAGGAACCTGTAATGAAAACACCAACATCAACGTGTTACAACATCAAGGTGCAAAGAGTTCCCCAACTTAATACTGAGAGCAACGGGAGGAAAGGCCCACAGTGAACCTCCAGAACACCATTATGGTACCTCTTCACAAAGTGAAATTTCTGACAAACTTGCTACCATGGACTAGTTCTAAGATAATTGACGTAACTGTACTGACCATTACAATAGAATATCCAGCAAAAACTGAAGCTGTGCCCGTCACATTCCCGCTAAAAATGTCTACCCCCCGACTCAACCGATGGTAGGAACAATCGGATTCCTAATGAACATCAAGGGGAACACAGTTTATTGAATTGAAATAGCAGTACCATCTGTCATCCACTACATCTGCTTATTTACAAAGAAACTAAACATTAACCACTTGCTGCCGGGAGACCTGTTTTTGAGCACATACGCTTTATACACGGAGCCAGTGAACCCCGAAATCAGACAAAAGGAACTGAGCCTTGTAACAAAAGATTGTACTCGGAACAAAGACCAGGCTGCTGAGCATTACCGACATTTTTCTGATAGCGGAGATAATCCAGTCTTGTTTTGAAACACTATACCACGGTTTAGGGCATTTAGAGTGAGTGG